ACTCTCAGCAACAAAGAAGTTAAGAACCAACACCAAATCATTTGCCAAATGTTTAGGGCGAGGTAAGTGTGAGAACTCCTGTTGAATTGTCTAACAGGCTTGAACTTAAACTGTGGTTTTCCCTTTGCTGATAGATATCCCTCATGGGTTTAAACCTTATATCTTCACTAAAGTCACTTGACTGTGGGATTTTATCTGGAATGCTTGCTCTTCCTTCGAGCATGTTTACAACCTCAGACATTGTAGGCCTAAGTGAAGGTGATACATCCGTGCACAGAAGAGCAACTTTCATCAAAATTATTGCTTCTGTTGGTTTTATCTCTGATCCCAACCTTTCATCCACCAGTTCTATTAACCTTTCAGTACGCTGTAGATGACATGCCTGCAATGAAAATTCTATTACCTCTCTTTTACGTGATGAAAGTACAGATATTTGCATTAGGTAACTACCAAAGAAAGGGATTCATAATAATGCAAAAAATAGATAAGGGATTGAAGCAAAAGTAGATTACCTTGTCTAAAAGGCAAACACGATTATCACTAGGCATGTACTTGTTATTGCTCTTCCCACTAACAACTTCCAAGACCACAACCCCATAACTGTAAACATCAGCCTTGTAAGACAAGCGACCCCATAATGCATATTCGGGTGCCATGTACCCTCTGCAAAACAAAGTCAGCAGAGTCCAATTCATGATCAAGAAAACTTTTTTTGAGTCTTATTATCAAAGGAGAGATAACTGACATTGTTCCAGCTATTCGGGTAGTGATATGGGTCTTCTCTTCATCATCAAGCCTAGCCAACCCAAAGTCAGATATTTTGGGGTTTAAATTCCCATCCAGTAACACATTAGTAGCCTTGATGTCTCGATGAACAATCTTGAGTCTTGATTCTTCGTGAAGAAATGCAAGACCTTTTGCTATGCCAATACAGATCCTAAGCCTTGTTGGCCAATCAAGATTAAGTTGATCTTTTGAGCCTATGCAAAATCAAGTTAAAGTTTAACAATATGAATCATAATAACTTAATTAGTTTCTCTAAACAAAAAGAGGAAGAAAAACAATTAGAAATAACATTCACTCCGTATTTTGTATCCACAAAAAGGGAAAAGGATAAATTTCCATGACGACAAACTTCCTCAAGTTAATCAGATCTCATAGAGATTTCTCATAGTGACCACTTGGGATCTTATCCCACAGAACATTTAATAAATGATAAGGCAGAAGACGAAAAGAGACATTAGTTCACACTTCTGGGTAGAAACTCACTGAACAAAGCTTGAGCCAGGCTATTATTTTCCATGTACTCATACACCAACATTAATTGATTCCCTTCAATGCAACATCCATGAAGTTTCACAAGATTAGGGTGTTGCAAACAAGATACCAAGCCTATCTCATTTAAAAATTCACGATTCCCCTGTCGTGACTTTGATGAGAGTTGTTTGACTGCTACCAGTGTACCATCAGATAATTGACCCTGCAATCCAATAGTTAATTGGAATTTTAAATGCTAGGCATGACCATAAATTTTTACTCTTAGAAGAAAGTTGGGAGTTCACTTCAAATCTAATACCTTGTATACAGGACCAAATCCACCTTCTCCAATCTTGTTAACTGGACTGAAATCCTCTGTGGCCTCTCTAATTTGTTCTAATGTAAATGTCCCCATTTTTGAATCTTGTCTTTCAGTACCTGTTGGATAAGTCAACCGTAAAATACATGTTCCAGAGAAACAACATATCTGAATTTATTTGAGGCAAGTACAAATGTTTCTAATGTACCAATATACATAGCAATGCTTGTCACCATAAATACTATAAGTGAATGCATACAGATTATCAAAAGAAACCCAGCAAACTTTTTGCTATACATAGGTCAGAAACTCAGGTTCAGCATACCATTCAATTTGATTACGACATTGATTATTGCAATTTGCAAAGGAAGTTCAAATTAATGAACACAAATTCATGATGTTGTATTAATTATATTTCCTAATTTAAGGATGCCTTAATGAGATGACAATGACAAGAATTCTGTGTTTTCTTTTCATTCCTATTTTCCACCTTTGAGTCTGTTTCTGTATTTCTGGTAAAGAAACCGACTTCTTTATATGTTCCATTGACTAAGCCATAAATTCAAATAACCCACCTGAACAAAATGTTCCTAATACATAATTTTTTCTTACTGTGTATCTCCATATTAAATAAATTATGCACAACTGGAATTCTTTTGAGATGTCTTCATATAATAAAATTAACTTGGAATTAAACACAATTAAACATAGCATCAGTAATAATTTAAAATATTTGAAATCCTTATTTCAGCTGCTACTGAGAAGGTTCGCTTTGTCCAATGAGACGAGTTGCAGCTGCAAAGGTCTTAAGTGTCAATTTTAGGTAGTATTTTTTCTTAGGATTTCATGATTTGTTTTTCATGAATAGTTCTGTTATCGGTTAAATATTAATGGACCTTTTGGTCTTGTGTTGTAGGAAAACCACTAAAAGAGGAGTGTGGCAGCGGCTAAGGTATAAAAACACTTGGAAAGAACCCTCAACTAAGAAGGAACAGCATAAACTGTTCCTACGGTTTAAGGGCAAGGATTCAAAGGGGATTTTCCTTGTGCATCTCTTCTCTAGGTTGGTACAGTAGCTAGAGCTTTAAAAATCCCTTCATTTCTAGTATTTTCCCTTTTCATGATGGATTGCTGAACTCTTTGGAGAAAGAGTTTAATGAATACATTTCGGATTGTGAAGTAATTATCTTCTTGATTATAGTTTAGGCTTTCTCTTAATGTTTGCTTCTATATTTGCTCTAAATACTTTGGTATGAATTGGCTACTCATACTCTGTTTTGATGAACCTTCTTGATGTTGGAAAGTGTAACAATCACGCTTTCTGATTTATTGGAGGTCATTCTTTGGCTGTGCATTTTGCATTTCATGTTCTCTAAAGCCACATGCTCGTATATTTTTCTTTAAGGAATTTATATTTGTAAGTTTAGAAGAACTTACAAGCCAAGAATTGGATGAGTCCATATTCTCTACTGATTTTGTTGGTACTGCTGAATCTTCAAAATACACTGGTGTTGGTATGTTAAATTTTTGTTTAATATATTTAAAACGTCAAAATCAGTGTCAATTAGTGTATTTCAAACCCGCAACAGAGGAACAACACCAAAAACTCAATAGAGAATCCAAATGGTAAGTAGAGGTGTTGTAAAGAGGGCAAGTTGTAAAAATTTCAGGCAAGTTCTGTGTTTGACCCTCCTAATGAGGTCTATCGTAATGAACACTTTTTACAATCCTACATAACCACATCTTGTAGCACCCTCCTATTAGTTAACTCGCAATTTCCTAGATGCTAAGTCAAGTGATTGACTTTTCATGATGTTTGAACTTGAAAATCATGAAGAAAGCTAAGCAAACTAATTCCAGAATGGTATGGACATGATATTACTTACCTTTTACAGCCCTAATCATTCCTTTGAAGCAGCCATTCCACCAAAAGATTCCAACAATGATGATAACAAGGCACAGAGCGGTGACACCAAACCCAACTCCAACAATTATCATACGCCTTGCACTTTTTTGTTCTGAACAAGGTTTGGAATCTGGAAATGACAAAAAGAATCATGAGATCTAATTATCTCATAAAAGAGAATGGCCGTAGCATAATTAACTTTGAACCACAACTTAAAAGATTAAGCCTTGTTTTTGTCGCAGAATAAAGGCAGAGAAACTAAGCTTAGCCATGCCGTTATTAATAATTGACTTAGAGAAGCATGTTTACTTTCGAAGTCCCATGCAATAATACATTGTAAAAATTTCCAGCATGATTCTAGAGTTCCAGTAGTTTAACATAGTGTAAAATGACCTGCAGTTGAGATGCTATCTTGTAATCAAATGTATTACAAAAAGTCACTCCACATGAAATTACCATACTGGAGTTGAATCATTATACAACTCACGAGAAACAATGGAGAGTGCTGATATGAGGGGACCATAAGCTCCACCACCAGGAACCCTTGTTGTCCCCTTTCCAGCCCAATAGAATCGAATCTCCAGAATATTCTCTGTTACACTGACATTATATGGGAAAGTAAGTGGTTTTTGAGAACCATGAATTTCATCTTCAATATTAAAATCCTTCCTAACTAATTTTTCCTGCAACAGAGAGATCTTGTCAAATTCTGATTGGCCAGCAAAATCTTAGTTTCAATATTTTGATCAATACCTGAATATAGATATCAAATAAGCGCTTCCCAAGACTACTGTATGTCTTATCGTTTGTAAATTGTATTTCTGCGAAGTGGAGTTTTACAGTATATTTCCCATTTTCCAAGCAATAGAGAAAATAAGTAAGCGAAAGTGGAGCAACACGTGCCGTTTGATATAGTTCAGGCAAATTTGAAGATGTCAAAGCCCTAATAAAATGAGCATTTAGGTAATTGCCATCATCCATGAAGTCCCCAGTGCTGCTAAATCCCCAGTGACTTTTATAATTAATATAATATTTAGCAGCTTCACTACCTAACACATCTCCATCTCCTACATAGAGAACATTTTCATCATTTTCCATCACATTTATATCCTTTCCACCACAGTTAACACGAAAACAATGTGAATCTGCAATAAGTGAAAATTCAAGTCAGAAAAAAATTATCACATAACAGTTGTGCTCAATCATAATTCAACTTTTGGATGGTCATACTCTACTATTTCTTTTTTGGCTGTTCAAATCTCAAATCAGTTGAAAGTTTTGATATGATAATAACAGTCAACACATAATATAGTATATATCATTAAAGTATAAAGCTATAACGCTTTTAGGTAAGTTGGGCTTTTCAAGCACGGATTTAAGTTGTCAAAGTTGATTCAGTGATACACTTATCCAATTCTGTATTTCCTACTGATCACATTCAGCAATATTCTTTGTCAAAATAACTATCTAGGAATTAAAAACGTATAAATCAAGTTAAAAGTAAATGAGATTAAGCAATTGACTTAAAAAGAGAAAAAAATTAAAATCAAAAGAACAAAAAGAAAAGAAAAATGATAAACACAGGCATACAAGTATCAGTATCTACCCTTATAGCCTTCTATGTGAGTTCATTTAATATGTTAAGTGAATACATGCATGCATATACACTGAAGTAGGTGTGCAAGGATGCTCTATAACTTTCTAGGCCAAAATAATCAAACCTCAAATGGATCATTCATTTTTGAAGAATAGGGAACGGATGTGAAAATGCAAATGAAAATGCCATGCAAATTCTCTCGGACATGATCAAGTAGAAAAAGGGACCAAATATAGAATAATATGTACTCACATGCAGGACAATTGGAGATCTCTAAACAGGGAAGAATCTGCTGTCTGTCAATAATCATGAACAACAACAGTGATACAAAATACTTCAATCAAATTATTAACAGAAAGGATAGGTTCTTACAATTTGGTCCCGTAGAAGCTCCGGAACAAGTTTAAGTTTAAATTTCTGCCCAAGTCAAACAAGATGAAACAATAACTAGTTTTTCAATTACATCAAACATGAAGATGTATATAAGAATAAAACAACAAAAGCACGCACTCTAACACTACTGTGCCACTGCACTCACACACATACACTATCTTAATTTCCCGAAACTAGCAAAGAGTAAGAAGTGCAAGAATTAAGGTGTATAAACAGCAAACTCAAATGAATAATTATTGCAAAAGACTTTGGATTCTAACAGGTTATCTCTACAAGCAGGTTCATCTGGTCCTTGCCACGTAAAATTGTTGTAAGAAAGATCACTGCAAACGAAACAAATATCAGAATAAAAAATTATCAATTGGCAAATTTTTTCACTATACCACCATAAACAAAATCATATTCTTCAATTAGTGCAGAATCCGTCCAAGATGCTATTTTAGGAGAGTGGAACCAGAATACTTATAGTAGATTCATAGCTAGAAAACTGTAGATACATAGAGGAATAAAGAAATATTTGTAAACAAGAATAGTTTGTAATCAAATCAAAATAATGTTCTCACAATAGAGTGAAACAAATATAGGAGTTTCTACACAGTGGAGCAGAAAGATATAGAGTCAGTGTGCTTAAAATCTAAATTGCTTTTGTCCCACGGATTGCAAGAACAACTGCTCATATTACACTTGCATTGGAGTTAAAAAGGATACTTTGCAATATTGGAGTTAAATGAGAAAGAACTAAGAAACATACACGCTGCTTCCATCCGCCAAGACTGACTTGGGAATATTACCACTTAGCATGTTGTGAGTTAGGAAGCTGGAAAAGAAAAAAGAAAAACAACAGAAATGGGTTTACTAACTCCAAGGCAATAAAAAGGGAACATGTTTTATTGTATGTCTCGTTATATGGTTCTTTCTAAACACAAACTCGGCTTGAGGAAAAATATCAAATAATACCTACTTCGTTCCACACATGATGATATTCTCGCCATAGATTTGTTTTTGAGACAAATTTCATTTCCTTTGTGATAGTTGAGAGGTATAAGGTAAATTACTTATTCTACTTTTAGTTCAAAGCACCATGTCTTAAAATTTCCAGAAGCTCACTTACAGAAATCTCAGATACCCTGCATGTCGAGCATCTGGTATTTTCCCAACCAACTTATTGAAACTCACGTCCCTAAAAAAGTTGAACAAATAGTACAAAATCCATGGTTAAAAGTTTGGATTCTGAGATAGGGTTATGTGAATGTACCAGCAAATTGTTTTCTTATGAATTATCATGATTATGCAATCAAGAATCTGTATCATGTACTTTGTTCATTGAAGCAAATTTTTTATTTATAAAAAATATGTATTGTAGCATTCTAGAAATAAGTAATAAATGCAATTTAAAATGAGAAAAGTGAAAAAAACAAGATTAGGTTAATAATAATAATAACAAAAAATAACAGCAATAAAAAAGCAGTAACAACAAATGGAGCTGGTAACTTATTGGTGGTGCAATTTGTCTCCACCATGGCATATAATGATAAAATTAGCATAGGAATTGCTCCATGAAATGCAATATACATGCAGAGTTTCCATTAGAAGTACTACTATATATTGAATCAAGGGTAGATAAATTAGAGAAGATGACTGGTTTCATTTGTATCATATAACTGATCAAATGAAAAACATCAGATGATTTAATTTTACTATAGTTTTTCCATTACAATTAAAAGTTCATGGTCTCCTTTTTACTTTTCTTGGGTTAATCTATTCTTTTGCCCTAATTCCTAAGTACTTAGCAGAATGACTTTCTTCAATTGAAAAGACCTTATATCCAAGGCAACGTTTCTTAATTTCACCTAGATTTCTATTATCATTGACTAAAATGAAACTTGATACACTCTTAGGGTAAATGTGCATAGTTTTACCCTGCAAGATGTTACGGCGATTCTTGGATTTGAAACAGCACCTCCAAGTCACAAGGAAAAAACTTTATCATTGGGTCAAGGTTCACCCTCTTAACCTTCATAGACTCAAGCACTTAAATAGTTTCATTGTACACATTCATTTGCAGATACAGGTGTAAAATATGCATGAAAAACATAAAAGAGAAATAACATTGTTATTGCATTATATTTATTTCCGTGCTAAATTTTTAATTAGTTATCTTAATTTTGTACAATAAGTCCAAAATAATTTTCTTCTAGGAATAAAATCTTGGTGGGGGTGAAAACTTTGCTTTATAGATGTAATATCATAGCTTTGGTTCAATTTATTAAGAGTGTTGAATTACAAGAATGAATACGCGTGACTTCTGCATTGTATGTTCTCTCTTTAGCATAAGCTTTCTATCTAGGAGTACTTGACAGAGGACTTTAGAGCTTAGTCATGACGGCTAGATACTTGTGTACCAATTTTATGCCCTTAGGACTACAAAAATTTAAGAAAGCCCTGGTTGCAAGGTTAGGAGGGAGAAGTGATGAACTCATTTTTGAAAGATTTGAAGCAATTTAACATTGACTGTGGATGTCTATATACAAGCTTTCAAGTTTTCATCTTCTTAGGTAAAGAAATCATCGTAGGACCAATACTAGGGGTTATTTCATAGGAGGATTTCAAGCAAGTATTAAACCGAAACTACATATAAATTTCAATCTGCCTCCATATTTCGGTAGTTATGGGTGGCAGCAGTTTCAGCTGTGATGAGGTCATTGAAGAGAAACAGAGGAGGAATGATAAGTGAGGCCACTAAAACATATGTAACAATGTATTATCAGTAGTAACAGTCATGTTAGCAGTTTAGAGCAGAAAGTAGGAACAATTTCATGTTATTAAGTATGTGGGTAATAGGAGGATGGGGGCATAACAGTGTTGTTCTATGTAATTTGGACAGAAAACTCATCTATACAGGAGTCAAAGGCATTGGGATAGCAAGTTCTGTTGTATTCTGTGTATTGTGTGTGATTTAATATAGTTGTTTTTCAATCTATCCATTGGTGTTGTATTCGACATTTTTTTGTATGTGAGTTTGCCTCTGTTGGTATCTATACATGTATAAGGAAATGATAATATTTGTATTTAAGGAAAAAGAAATATTGTACTTGTATTTGCTTCAATGATAGAAGAATTGAAAAGCAAACTTTGACAAAAAAATATCCAAAATTTCTACTTACAACATCTCCAATTTCTCCATACTCCACAAGTAGTTAGGAAGAACTCCAATAATATGGCAGTTTCTCAAAATCCTACATTAGGAAGCCTGAATTACTTTACATTAAACAGTAGCAGAACAAATATTCCAAATAGTTTTTTACAAAAAAAAGTAAACATACAGTATTTTCATTCGTGTCATGTTGATTAAATTGGGAAAATTCTGACTTGGACCATTTATGTCACTAATCCTCCTGTATCAAATTTACCCCCATGAGCTAAATATAGATGTAACAAGAAAACCAGGTGCAAACATTGAACTAATAAAAAAATTAGTAGACATTTTACTTACAATTGATATAAATTACTCAAAAGAGATATATTTGATGGGATAGGTCCCTCCAGTCCACTTGCAAGCATGTCTCTTCAATGATGTACATTATAATGATAGTAAATGTGATGTATTGTTAAAACAAGAAAAAAGCAAGTGAATTGCAATCTCACAATCTTTGAAGTGATTTCCAATTCTGTATGAAGAAGCTAGGTATTTCTCCGCTAAAATTGTTGTCACTTATCCTGCTGCAGTGCACCATGAAATGACATTTTTCAGGGGAAAGTATTTACTTTCTAAGTAACAGTTAATCGGAACTTACAATTCTGTCATATTCTGCAACTTAGCAAGTGTCACCGGTAACTTCCCAGAAAAATTATTGGACGATAAAACCCTGCAAAGATAACATTGCATGTAAAAACAATCAGATACAGAGTGTAATCTTTCAAATTTATTCTGACAGTAATATAATGGAATCTTGGAAAATAAATACAAATCCATTGCCTTACAATAGTTCCAGCTTAAATAGACTTCCAAGTTCGTGGGGAACAACACCGGAAAATTGGTTTGCTTCAAGGTTCCTTTTTGAGGTCAGAGAAAAAGAAGTGAAAAAAGGAGAAAATTTAGAGATGTCCAATGAGAAAATAAGATCAAAAGCACTACCCCGTTAATGATAAAGTAATCATTCACTAATAAATTTATGTAAAGTTTGCTGATTAGAGTTACCGTAATTTTCGATGAGTTGGCCGTGTAATTTTTTACAATAAAAATTAAATTCATCATTAATATCCTTTAAGAATAGTGACTAGTAATCTGGTAAATAATCACATCACATGACTAGAATAACTAATGACACAAAAAAATGAGCCAGAAATTTAGTTTCAGAGAATAACTAGATGAGCAAGTTTATTTATAAACTTACAGGTATGTTAGAGTGGTAATTCTTCCCAACTCTATAGGAATTTCCCCTGACAAATGATTAGCAAATACAGAGCTGCACAACATACTGTATTTAATACTGAAGGCCAGTAACTAGATGAATATTTCAATTAATAGAGAAGAACTTACATTGAAGTTAAATTTGTCGAACCCCATTCCTTTGGAATCGTACCACTTAGGTAGTTGAAAGCAAAATCACTACAACGAAAGCAAATTTCATTTTAATTTGCAACATGACAAGTTAAAGTTCCACCAAAATGGTAAGAAAACTAAGTTGAGACCAAAAAACGAGACCTAAGTTTTAACTTAAAAACTGCATACGGAAGTACTTTTAAGATGTTACAAGTTCTTACACTTTGCTGAGGTAAGGAAGCTTAACCAATTGAGGTGGAAGCATGCCAGGAAGGTTGACCTTCTTGAAAAGGCTAAAACATGGAAAGTTATTTTAAACAACAATTAGGAGCAAAGAAATTTCCAAATTCAGAGTCCAGAATGATTTTTTTCTGATAGATGCTACTATAAGGAAACTATAGATTAAAGTATAAACAACTATCTGTGTCAAAAAATATAGCAAAGCATAAATTACTTCAAAACATTCAGGATAAGGTAAAGAGAATTTTACATCTCTACTACGTGACAGGTGTTGTTTTCAATAGAGCAATCACAAACAATTTTCCTTTCAGATTCTTTAGGTGGATCTGGTGTTGATCTCAGCATTTTAACAGAACAAGAATCACTGTCAAACTCCCAATAGGTGGCCCCCATCGTGCTAGTGATTTCCTTAAGAGCATCAACTGTAATTTTTTTGACAGTCACTATAACATAACAAATCAAAATGCATGGAAGAAAAGGAAACAACATCAATCAATGTTTGAACTAGGAGTTCAATAAAGCTAGACCTTAGGTATCTCCATATATATAATCAGGTGAACTGACACCAGAGATTCACTGTCTAACTGATACCAACTAGAAAAAGCGGCAAAGTCTTCAAATCAAAGAGGTTTACATGTTTGAACTGCACATAATGTCATTGACAATTGTACGCAAGAAATTATTGGTTTAAAAGTTTAATAGCAAAATCTAAGAAACTTTTAAAGAGAGAAGAGAGATATTCATACTCCAAAAGGTAAATCTTACTATAAATTCTTATAGAGAAAGTGATATCGTTTAGAATTGTCATGGTATCATATTCATATCAACTAGTTGGTTGCTGGAGCTGAAAAGGTAAATAGGAAAAAGGATATCTTTAACAAGAACAAGCAATCCCAGGATTAAAACCATCAAAACTGATTTATTGAATGAATTATTTCTGTGAAAAGTTTAGTTACTCATTATATCTTTGAACGTTAACTTTTTATTTATATCACCATTGCTTCTTACTCTGTGTGTGTATGCATGTTTGAACTCCAAGTGTAAATCTAAATTCTATATTAGGTAAAGATGAGAAAATTGAACTATATAAAAAAGAAGATTCATAGATTCATTACTTTAAAGTTTTGACTTGAGAATGATGTTAATTTTTTATGTAAGTTGGACTTATCTGTTCATGTATTTGATTATGGTTTTATTAGATTATTATTTTCTACCTTTAATATAGTGCTGTTAGACTTTATTCATATTTACTCTGTAAATATCTTTATTGCATATCTCTTACATTCTCCAATATTAATGTAAAAATATTCTATGTTGCCTGTTTAAGATAAGAGCGCTGCAGAATAAAAACAAACAATTCTAAGAAAATAAATCTCTCGTACGCTCTCTCTTATCTTGATATTTTGACATGGAATCAGAGCTTGGTCTCTGACGTGGTCTTTTCTTGGGTTTTAGTGTTATTTCTTGTGGATATCTTGGGATTGGAGTAAACACTTCTTGTGGATGATCAAATCTTCCGCCGTCATCTTCTTTTTGTCTTGATTCGAAAAGTTTCGTGAGTTCGTTGCACCGTCTTCAAGCGCAGCACACAGGTTCGTGAGGTTGGTGTTGTCTACCTGACTGGCCGAGCTCCTTCAAAGAAAACCGAGTTCCTACCAGGCTGGCCGAGCTCTCTTATCTTGATATTTTTACAATATCTCATTTATATTGTCACTTTCTAATGAATCCTCTATCGAAAGAGAAAGAAAAACATCAAGAAGATTCAGGTTTGTCTTGATGATCAATTTAGACGGTTGTTGTAATAAAAACACCAAGGTTTTGAGGTTGATGAACCCTATCACTTTAGAGATCCAAGATTTAGGAATACGGTTGCATAAACATAAAATAACAAAATATTCATTTAATTCAAAGGAATCAGAGTCTTAACCAAGTACAAGATAGAAACTATTCAAAACTCTTACCAAGTTGTTATTGAACTCAAGGAGCAAGTTCCATTTAACCCAGACTTTGTGTGCTTTAATTGTGGATACGAATTTCAAGTTCTCACCTTTAGGAATTCTCTAATTTTAAAGTAATGAAATTGTCCTCATCCAATTTTAGAATTTTAATCTTTCTTCAAATTTCTTGCTCCAAGAACATATTTTACCATAAAATATTTTTACTTCTCTGTAAAATGAATTACACTATTAAACTCTGGTATTAAAAACACACCATCACATACTTCTCTTAATGAGATTGATAGAAAAAGAAATACATTACAAAGCTGAGGAAAACTTGTCTTACTAACGGAGTAGTAACAAGACAGGGTTCCTTTATTTTCCTTTTTATTCATTTCTTTCTTTTTATTAAGATGAACAGGACGAAATTACAGAGAAGAGACTGTTCCTACTGTCAAATTAATTTTCAATTGGAACAAGTTCTGACATTTAACAGCAAAATGACACCTTTACCAATACGGGTCATACTTGTACTTTCAAAACTACAGAAGAAGTAGCAGAGATCAATTAAGATGCATGATGCAAACTTTTGCATAACATTTTCTTGGTTCAAGATGGCNGCACCAATTGTGTCTTCGTACAATGAGAGGATACGTCCAGTTCTGGATGCTATGGAAAATCTAAGGCGTCTTAACATTGCAAAGGAGGGAATTCAGCTTCCTTCCATTGTAGTTGTTGGTGATCAATCATCTGGGAAGTCCAGTGTTCTTGAATCCTTGGCTGGTATTAGCTTGCCACGTGGCCAAGGTATTTGTACTAGGGTACCCTTGATCATGAGGCTCCAAAACCACCCTCTCCCAAGTCCAGAGCTTGTGTTGGAGTACAATGGAAAAAACATCATGACCGATGAAGCAAACGTCTCTCATGCCATCAATGGTGCAACAGAAGAGCTTGCTGGCCATGGCAAAGGGATTTCAAATAACCCCTTGACTTTAGTGGTGAAGAAGAATGGTGTTCCGGATCTCACAATGGTTGATCTTCCTGGTATAACCCGGGTTCCTGTTCACGGGCAACCTGAGAATATTTATGACCAGATCAAGGACATTATCATGGAGTACATAAAGCCAGAAGAAAGTATCATCTTGAATGTTCTTTCTGCCAGTGTTGATTTCACTACTTGTGAGTCCATTAGGATGTCTCAGAGCGTTGACAAAACTGGGTTGAGAACATTGGCTGTGGTGACAAAGGCTGATAAGTCTCCAGAGGGATTGCTAGAGAAAGTGACTGCTGATGACGTCAACATCGGTTTGGGTTATGTTTGCGTCAGAAACAGAATCGGTGATGAGTCTTATGAGGAGGCTCGAATTCAAGAAGAGAGACTTTTCGATTCCCATAAATTGCTGTCAAAAATTGACAAGTCTATTGTTGGAATTCCGGTTTTGGCAAAGAAACTGGTTCAAGTCCAGGCCATGAGCATTTCAAAAACTCTGCCCGAGATCGTGAAAAAGATCAATGAGAAACTGGCAAATAATTTGTCGGAGTTGGAAAATTTGCCAGCAAACTTGACTTCGGTGGCTGATGCCATGACTGCATTTATACAAATTATTGGACTGACGAGGGAAACACTCATAAAAGTTCTCATTAGAGGAGAATTTGATGAATATCCTGAGGAATACAACATGCATTGCACTGCTAGATTGGTGGAGATGTTAGATTCTTACTCACGTGATCTTTATGGCTGTCCTGAAAGTGATACCACCATGCAATTTCTTAAGGACGAGATAAAGGTATTGGAAGAAGCAAAGTGGATTGGACTACCAAATTTTATGCCTCGCATTGCATTCCTCAGTATTCTGCAGAAGAAAGTCCGTGGTATTAGAAATATGCCTATAGGCTTTGTAGAAAATGTATGGAATTACCTCGAAAATGTATTGATTACCGTTATCACTCGTCATTGTGACAACTACTATCAGCTTTTGGTATCTGCAAAGCGTGCAGCCCAGGTTTTAATATCCAAGAAGAAGCAAAATTCCACGAATCATGTTAAAGAAGCAATTGAAATGGAAATGTACACGGATTACACGTGTAATCCTGAGTTTTCACAAGAATACAATAGGCTAATATCTCAGAAAGAAGCATTTGTGAAGGAAGTTTTGAGTGATAAACAGCCATTGCATGTGAATCTGAAAGGTGTGGGAAAAATTGATGCTGCTCATTTGAGAGAATACCCATCCTCTGTTCTTAATCAAGCATTTGACCTTAAAGTGAGGATGATTTCGTATTGGAAAATAGTTCAGAAAAGGCTGATTGATATCATAGCCTTGCATCTGATGCTAAGTATCCATCGTCTTGTTAACTGTGATTTGCAGACAGAAATTGTGCAAAATCTGTTATCACCAAGTGGTGGTGGGATTGAGAGGCTGCTGGAGGAGTCGCCTTCCATCGCTGGTAAGCGTGAAAAACTTAGCAGGAGTGTGAGAGTGCTCAGAGAGAGCAAGGAAACTGTCGGAAATATAATCGACAGGATTGGAAACTACGGTGATTTTTAATAGTGTCTTATGTTCCTTAGTTTTCAGTCCGAACCTTTAGCAGTTTTTTATTTGGTTTTGTTGAAGTATCTTGAGTTTTATAGTTTCTGTTTTTAGTAACATCAATGAAATAATGCTCTTGATTTTCAGTGTTTTTTGTGTCTAATCTTATACTTACATTATTACTAGTACATAATATTTATCCCAAAACTAAAAAATACTTACCGATTTTATGTTGAGAATTTTTCTTGACAATTATTGGTTTTACATGGAGCAAAATCTTTAAATTTTCTTACTATTAATACATCACCGCAAGTAATTCATTACTCATTCTCTCACCCTTTCTCCTCTTTTCTTTGTAACAACACTAAATAAATTTTATGTATCTCATTTTAGTTACTGATAATTTTTTCACAAACAGCAAGAGTAAGGCACTCGGTAGTAATTAAATTAAGTTTTGACTTACTTTCTTAGCCAGCCATTATTTCAGTTTTTTAGTTCCATGTCGATTTGGAGTTTAAGCAGTGAAGGATCCTAAAAAAGAAAAACATTGTGCGCGAGTAAAAATGCATGCAAGAACATCAAGCCAAATCCAAAATTAACACTTGCGTGAAAAACAAATTAGAGTTTACCAACGCTTACGATATTTCAAGAACCCCTCAATATTATGTAACTTGAAAATTACTTGAAATCATTTAATAATTGATAAAAATAGTGGAATGTAGATTAAGTTGTCCTTTAATTGTTTGAGAATTTTTTTAGGAAGTCCATGAATTAAAACAAAATTTAGTGAGGTCTAAGTAAGCAAAAGATTTCTTTGGATTAGAGACTAAGCTAAGAAGTCAATGAAAATAAAATTCATTACCAAAGACCCATTTTTTTATTTATTTAGAGACTTACCTGAAAACCTCTAAACAGTTGAAGGACTAAGCTAGTAATTTAATTATCTCCATGAGCAGGTAGAGTTTTAGAGGGTTCCTAAAATTTCTATGTCCTAAAATAGTGATCATTAAGGTTGGTTTCCCTAAAAGATTAAGCGTCTATGCTCTAAGGATATCTCATGTTGTTGCATTACTCTCAGCAACAAAGAAGTTAAGAACCAACACCAAATCATT